CCCCAGGCCATGGAGCAGATTGTAACAATTGTGATTTCATTTCCTGGGCAACATATCCCTCATCCCCGTGGAGAGTTAAGAGAACGAGGAATGCCAAACCGCGATCGACGGGACGACACATTCGGGAGGATTGGTCCATAGAAGAGCACGCGCCTTAGTGGCAACTCCTGCAGCAGGATGAACGCCGTGACTACGTCCTCAAGGAAGTAGAACCCGAGCAGGAATAGGCTGAACGCTATGGCGTTCCTCTTCGCCTCACCTCCACCCACAACTCTGCGAGGCTCGCGACAAGAGAATTGTGAGTAGAGCCTGCCCCGTACAAGTCTCTCTCATATAGACGAGCGTGTTCCACTACTCGCACAGTAACTACTCGCAAGTGGCCTGGATCCGCCGCGGGGGATTTGCGATCAACTACATCGAGGCGAACATGTGTTTGCGTTTCTCTGACGTTTGCGAGTCGGCACTCTGCGAGTAGTGGAACGCACTCGGTGATCAGAGGTCAGATCTACGAAAGACAGCAGGCAACCAGGAGGCACCGAGCGGCGATCCGTTAGAAAACGACCCCGCCATGATTAGGCCCTCCTCCCTCCCGCCTCCTGCGAGCCTCCGAACGCCTCCCCCCCCGCTGTCCCTACTCCTCCTGCCTCCCGCTCCTCCTGACTCTCTTCTCTCCGCGTGCCTCCGTCCTCCCTCCCCTCCTCCCACCGCCGCCTCCCTGCTGCTGATGCCAGTCCAGGGGCATCGGCGCCGAGATCTGGACAGAAAACTCAATGCCTCGGGGCACGGGAAATCCGAGGCCCCTCCTGCTCACGGAGTAGTCCCCTGCTCCTCCTCCTCCTCCTCCTCCTCCTCTTCCTCCTCCTCCTCCTCCTCCTCCTCCTCCTCCTCCTCCTACTCCCTGCCAGATGGGGAAGTGGAGGAGTGGTAGGAAGAGCGGAGCATGAAGAGGAGGGGGAGGAGGACGAGGCCAATGGCTAGTCCCACAACGAAGATTGACCAAGGTGTCGATTAACAGTACCGTCATGGCTCCGTTTCGAAGCGAACACGGTCCGAGATTGGCCAGCATGCTGCCCAACACAGTTCTGCGGTACGCCTCTGGAGTCGCGATGGAACCACGGCGGGCCCCCGCGGAAGTCAACGCGACAGCGGAACGCCAACGAGCACGACAGCGAAACCAACGGCAAAGCGAAGCCAGGACAAACGCGAGACGCCTTGCCCAGAAGACACAGCAACCCTGGTCGACGCCCAGCCCGGGCGTGCGCCGACCGGACTGCTCCGGGCAGCTCGGTCGGAGGGCGGCGCTCGGAGGCGAGGGCCTGACCCCCAGCGGCCGCCTGGGTCGGCCCACGGAGAGCGGCCCTCCTGCGCCTCCTCTTCCTCCGGACCGTTCTTGGTCTCCTTGCTCCTCCCTTTCCCCCTGGGCCTCCGCCTCCTCCCTTCCTCCTCGGCCCACGAAGCACCACCCTCCTTCTCCTGGCCACTCTCGGTCGTCTTCCTCCCCCGTTTCCTCCTCGGCCTCCTCCTCCTCCTCCTCCTCCTCCTCCTCCTCTTCCTCCTCCTCTTCCTCCTCCCCAACCTGCTGCTGCTCATCCTCTTCATCCTTGCCCCCTCGGTCCCCTCCTCCTCCGCTGCTGGGCTCTAGGCTTCGAGGGGCGACGTGTGCTCGGGTGAATCGGGCGGAGCAGAGCGGAGACGAGGGCGAGGTGCGATCGAGAGGCCGTTGCCCTGTTTACGCCGCAGCAAGCTTCGATGAGCTCCGTCTGCTGCCGGACAGGTGGCCGCTCCACAGTCGCCACGAAAATCTGAGCAACTCGCTCCTTGTACAACACAGATGCCACCAGGCGCTGGCACAGGTCTGTAAAACACGGAGCGCCTCTGACTGTCCCGCCCTACCTACCACGTCCGCTGGGAGCTCCCGCGCCAACACTGTTTTTGAGATCTAGAGTCTAGTGGCTTGGCATCTAGCGGCCCTCCTCGTTTCAAGATAGGTCCTCACTCACGCTCTTCCCATTCGGTCCGTCCTTCCCTCTACTTTGCACTGACGTGCACGCTGGACAGCATAGCAACGATGGAACCACACGCTGTCAGAATCCGCCTCAGCCAGCAAGAGTGGCACGCGTAATTGCCTGGCTTCGTCTTCTCCGTGCTGCCATGTGAACGCGCGCGCCGCTCTTGCCGGCTGGGGCGGATTCTATCAGCATGTGGCTCCGTCGTTGCTATGCTGTCCTGCGTGCATGTTCGTGCAATGTAGAGGGAATGCAGGACCGAATGGAACGAGCGTGAGAGAGGACTATCCGGTCCTCCATCTTCCTGTCCTTCACTACGTTTCTCCCCCTACTCCCTCCTCCCTCTCCTCCCTCCTCCTCCGAACTCTCCTCTCGCCCCGCCGCACGACCTAAAGAACGATGCGATAGATGTTGCGGGTGACGCCCCCGCGGAAAAAGCGGAGCAGTAAGTGGGATTCTCCTCTTTTCACTACGGATTCCTTGTCCACAGGAGGCAGCGGGAGGGGCGAGTGGTGGTCGACTCCAGGGCGCGTGCACGTCTGGACACCCTGGGGAAAGTACGTCGCTCGATTGCCAGAAAGAATCGTCTGGTTCTGTGCTGCGAGTGTCAAGCTGAGTCGAGGAGACGACTGTATATGATTTCAGTAAAATCATCATCACAATCACGTACCCAGAGCCTCACACTGAACGGGCAGTACGTGTCGCGATGTTTATGTTAGGCATCGCAAGTTGACCAGAGGACTTTGCCTTCGCCACGGACCGACAGTTCGCGCTGGGCACCGGCTGAGGAGCTGGTTTTAGCGGTGGCCAAGCGGGAGCAGGATGGGCGGCGGGCTGCGAGGTCGCTGGAGGAGCACCTCCGATTCGTGGGATTCGACGCGGATCAGCAGGTAGGCCAAGAGCCCACCACCTTCGTCAGGGCAAAGTTGCGTAGGCTCTGAGTGCCTCCTGCTGCTTGGGCCTCCTCCGGGCACGGTTCTCGTCCAAAAACCCGCTAGCATGGGGGAAACGGGTCCTGGACTCCAGGGCCTTCCCCCAGGACATGCTCTCCATCGGTGAGTCGTGTTCTGACGGTCCCGGGGCCCGTGAAGGGCTCCGGGAGCCCGAAAACTGTGAAAAACCTCGGGGCCCGTTTCCCTCAGGATCCGCTCTCCCCATGGCGAACGCTCCTCGCCCAAAACTCGGTGCGCCTCGGGGATCTACTGACCCGGGTCAACCCAGACCCGGGTCAGTCAGGCTCTGCAGGATCCTGCAGGGTCCTGCACCCACGCCCGGGTCAATGCAACCCTGGCTCTGCAGGATCCTGCAAGATGCGGCGCTCTGACAGACCCACGCTTACATGGACCCCCGCCTCTGGAGCCCCGAGCGCCCACGCCACAAGGAGTGCCGGCCCCGGCTCGAGCGGACGAGAGGAAGACCCGGAGCGCCCCCTCCCCAAAATGCGGCTGGTGCCGCCTCGCTCGGCGGGAGCTCTCCGCCGCGGCCCGAGGAGGCCCAAAGAGAACAGTGTCGTGGCCCACAGGCTCCAACGGCGCCGATCGCAAACCACTCCCCAGCGTAACCCATTTTTGCAGTCGCCGATGCTCGAGGAACGCGCGCACTCTGGGGAGGAGGCTGGAGAGGAGGCAGCCAGGACCGCCGATCAGCCTCGTGGGGAACTGGTGGGACCCTCGGAGCAAAAACAACAAAGACGGGAAAACTCGCGCCCGAGACCTGGGAAAGTCCAGAGGACCCGTGGGCGGTTCCAGCCGAGAGGCACACAAAGTGGACTTCCGGACGCACGCGCGGATCTCTTGGATCGGGACTGGATCCCCCTGCCGCCCTCTAGCGCCGCCCCTGGCGCGCTCCGCGCGCCAGGGAGGGGTTTGAGCACCGATGCAAGAAATCCGCGCGGACCTCCGAGTGCTTCAGGCTGTGCTGTTGCCTGTCAGCGAAGCCAAGCATCTCTTGGAGGACTTTACGCGGAGGCTCGAAGGTCCGTGCCCAGCTTCGTCTGGCCAGCCGTACCGTGAGATGGTGTCCGCCTCTCTGGGGCTGTCCGGTGGAAGAGGCGATGGCTATTGCGCCTGCCTCGCGCGAGGTGCGGAGGAGCACTGGGGAGCTGCGCGTGGATCACAGCTGATGTGTGCGCTGCGCAAAGGACTGATGGCGCCCGACGCGCGGCGGGCCCATGGCGCGGAGCCTGCCCGGAGAGTGGCTGGGGAAGGGCCCTCCGGCCAGATGGGGACGGATGGAGGCAGCCCGCCCAGAGTCCAGCCCGACGTCTCAGCCTGCGTCGATGGGCCCGTGCTCGGCGCATTGGCTGTGTCGGGGGCGCGGGCGGTTGAATCCGCCTGCAGCCCTCCCCCTCCCCCCCGCTCCCCCGTCCCGCCCTCACAGTCCTCCTCCTCCTCCTCCTCCTCCTCCTCCTCCTCCTCCTCCTCCTCCTCCTCCTCCTCCTCCTCCTCCTCCTCCCCCTCCTCCCCCTCCTCCCCCTCCTCCTCCTCCTCCTCCTCCTCCCCCTGCTCCTCCTCGCTTCCTCCTCCCCCTGCTCCTCCTCGCTTCCTCCTCCTTTCAGCGACTCTCAGACTCTTCCGTTGGCTCCCTCCTCTCCTACGCCCGCAGCTTGGGCTCGCGAGCAGGAGCGTGCCGCGACGAGCCCTAGCGGCCCCCCACCGGCGCTCCCGTCGTCGGCGCCGCCGCCGGCGGGCGTGTCGGTGTCGTCGTCGCCGTTGTTGCCGTCGTCGTCGGCGGCGTCAGTGTCGCTGCCGTCGTCGTTGTCGTCGGCGTCGCTGTCGTCGGCGTCGTTGTCGTCGGCGTCGTTGTCGTCGGCGTCAGCTTCGCTGCCGTCGCTGCCGTCGCTGCCGCCGCCGCCGCTACCGCCGCCGCCGCCGCCGCCGCCGTCGTCGTCGTCGTCGTCGTCGTCGTCGTCGTCGTCGTCGTCGTCGTCGTCGTCGTCGTCGTCGTCGTCGTCGTCGTCGTCTGGTGGCGCGGACTGTCCCGGCGGGCCGCCCCTCACGCGCTTGGCAGCGCGGCACCGCCCCGTCCTCGGCCGCGCGGGGAGGTGGGCGGCAAGCGGGGGGGGGGGGCCCAGGCCGCGCGAGCAAGCGGGAAGGGACACAGCGGACGCATGGCCTCACGAGCGCGGGTCAATACGGTGGCGGCATTCGGTTAGGAACCCTGAGACAAGGAATCCAGGGTCACGGATATCAGTTGACGATAAGGAATCGTGGAACCCTTGCATCGGGATTCCGTGGTCATTCGATAAGAAACCCTTAGATAAGGAAGCTTGGCCAGGGATATCACCGCTGCCCTCCTCACACAAGGGATCCCCGAAGGTCTGAGGCCTCCTGGGCGCATTCCTCCACGAACGCCCCACCGTAAGAGGAGCCCCTGCGCCGAAGGCCCCAGGGGAACCCTGGAGGCAGCCTGGAGCGAGCAGCACTCGATGGCGAAGGGTCCAGCCACGCAGATCGGCGGGGGTGCCGCCCAAACACCTGGGGGCTGCTCTTCACCCTTTCGCTGGCTGTGCTGGCCTCCCTGCGGGAACGGGGCGCGGTGCCAACACCGGTTTGGAATAGGTGCCAACACGATGCAAGACCGTCGAACGACCGTTCAGGCACGATGGCCTGATAGCCATACAATCGACGAGCACACTGCAAACACGACGCGATCGTGCAACAACTGAAGACAACTTGGACCCGATGGCAACGAACGTATGACTTCGACAGCTCGTGCCCACGATGGTTACATGACCCTGCTGGTGCGCAGCGCATCTAGGTTATCCAATGAGTGCATTGCTCGGGAGTCAGAAAGATCCCGATGAACACTCCTTCCACTGGGTAGCCCGCTATCGAGACAAGGTTGATGCAGTAACGATTGCCTTTGCCTGGCACAGAAGAAGAAGCTCACCATACCCCGAATCCCGCCACATCGAGATACCTTATCAGTCATTGTTCCTCCTCTTGTCTAAACAAATACGCTTTTGGCATAACCCATGCTTCCAGACACCCCAGACACATCGACTGTGCATGCTCTACACATCGTGCCAAACAAACGCGCACGAAGGCACCAGAGATGAAACGCACAGGAGCACACGCACAAACACACGCACACACACAAGCACACACGCATGGAGCTAACACGGCAGCAAACGCACGCATCACGAATGCTCCACACGTTTCGACGCAGATGAGGGAGGCATGATGACATACGCTCCACGCTCCATCAGCAAACCGAACTTGACCTCCTCCAGCCGAGAAAAGGCATGCACACAAACGAATCGCACGCTGGAAGCAACCTGACCAAATGACAAATGTGAGGAGGAGATAGACGCTCCGACATGCGCAGACGCACAATCAAAACTCGGGGTCTGAGTAGCGCCGTCACGCATCCCGTCCATTGACCTCAACCTCATAGAGAGCATGCTTGATTACCCTCACACAGGCGAACGCCTGCTGCAAACGAGTGGGCTTGTTTGAACCTGCATGGCACATGAGCCTTTGCTGTGCTGCCCATCGATCGCAATGATATCTGATTGCGCCAAGATTGCACGAGGCCATGAATGTGGTAGAGGGTAACGATCCGTGCAGCTGGTCTGGACCGTTCAGAAGCTTCGCGCGACCTCGTAGCACCGCCTCACACGTGGGATCATTGTTGTGATTTCACGCTTGAGGGCCCCAAAATTGACGATCCAAGCGGAAGACAACGCACCGCAATACAACTCCGAAGCTGTGAGAGCACACAAGCTTGACGGTCCTGAAAAATGAGGAGGCCTCAAACCAGAGACATACTTGAAACTATCCTGGCGAAGGACCCAACCATATGCAGTTGTGAGTATCGCGTTGTGGGTGCCGCTTTCGGTGGCCCACGCAACGCGTGACGGGGCGTGCCGTAATGGGGGCGTGCCGTAATGGTTGGGGGGACGCCTGCGGGCGGTCCCACTGGGGCCTTCGGGGGGACCTCCCCTGGGGTCACGAAGCGCTGTAGTGGGTGGTGGAAACGCATGCGGGCGGTCCCACAAGGGCCTGCGCTGGAGCTCCCTGTGGGCCCACGATACGCTGTACCGGGTGGGGGGACGCATGCGGGCGGTGCCACTGGGGCCTTCCGTGGTGCTCCCTATGAGGCCGCACGGCGCGCTGTAATGGGTGAGGCACACGCGTGCGGGCGGTAGCACTGGGGCCTTCGCTGGAGCTCCCTATGGAGCCACGAAGCGCTGTACTGGGTGTGGCGGACGCATGCGGGCGGTCCCACTGGGACCTTCGGTGGACCCCCTCATGAGGCCACGGAAGGCTGCACAAGGTGTGGCGGACACATGCGGGCGGTCCCGCTGGGACCTTCCGTGGTGCTCCCTATGGGGCCACGAAGCGCTGTACTGGGTGTGGCGGACGCATGCGGGCGGTCCCACTGGGACCTTCGCTGGAGCTTCCTATGCGGCCACGAAGCGCTGTACAAGGTCTGGCGGACGCATGCGGGCGGTCCCACTGGGACCTTGGGCCACGAAGCGCTGTACTGGGTGTGGCGGGCGCATGCGGGCGGTCCCACGGGGACCTTCGCTGGAGCTCCCTATAGGGCCACGAAGCGCTGTACAAGGTCTGGCGGACGCATGCGGGCGGTCCCACTGGGACCTTCGCAAAAGCTCCCCCTGGGGCCACGAAACGCTGTGTACTGGGTGTGGCGGACACATCCGGGCGGTCCCACTGGGACCTTCGCAAGAGAACCCTTATAGGGCCATGAAAGGCTGTACTGGGTGTGGCGGACGCATGCGGGCGGTCCCACTGGGACCTTCGGTGGAGCTCCCTGTGGGCCAGGAAACGTGTGAAAGGTGCGCCACAGTGAGGGGGCTTGCGAGAGGAGGGAGGAGAGGGGGAAGAGGGAGGAAAGAAAGAGGAGAACGCGGGGACCGTCTCTTCAAAACGAAGGCCCAACACCACAGGATGTTTGGGAAAAATGACCATCCTCAATCCTTGTTATTATTCAAGAGCTACGCTTCCGAGTGCACAGCGCGAGAAAGATACATGCGATGGCCAGATATTCCTTAGTTGTCGTTGGAAACATTGAAGACGAATGAGCGCGGCGCGGAGGTGACAGTCGCATGCTGAACAAATACCGCCCTCCATCTGAGTGTCGGGGTACCTGAAGACGAATGTGCGCGACACGTAGACGACAACCACATTTCGACCATGAGCTGTCATCAACCCGTGTAAAGGGTGGAAGCCTTTCTACGACTGTGTGCAGACATCCAAGAAACACGCATTTGCATGCCCGAACGCAGAAATCTGGCCATCAAGCGTGGAGATCTTCGAGGCGAAACGCGCGGGCCTACCGGCGGCGGACACTGTCTGTTCTTGCGACGATGATGGACATGTTTTCCACCACCACCACCACCACCATTAAGTTGGAGGGGGGAAGGAGGTGGAGGAGGTGGAGGAGGCGGAGGAGGACCCCCTCCCCCCCCAACTTAATTATGGTGGTGGTGGTGGTGGAAAACATGCTCATCAGACGAGGGCGAGACACTCATGAGGACGAGGGCCGAGCGGGGGAACCTCAATGTCCTGGGGAGGCAGGGGCGGGCACACCGCCACGGGCCGCCTTCGTCTCGAGAGTTTGCCCACAGACTCACCCCTGGACGGGTCCTGGGGGCGGTCCTTCGAGGAGGGCGAGGGGGCGGAGGAGGAACGGCGCGCCGGCGGGAAAGAGTTGGGTGCTCTCCGCCCCACCGTCGGGGATGTTGTGGCCAAGGTGCGTCCCGTCGAGCGAGACGCACTCGCCGCTGTTCTGCGATTGGGGGGATGGGGGGAGGGCTGAGGGCGCCGTAGCGATGGCGGGCCCAAGGCGTTGGTGCTCTGCATGTTGCAGCGGCGGCCGTTTTGCCACACACTGCAATTGAGCTCTGGCCCAAGGGTGAATGGTCAGCACCTTCGCGCACCAATAGAGTAGACGGCCTCGAGGAGCTGGTAGGAGCAAAAGCAGATAGTAGGTATTACGGTACAATCAAGGAAGAGACATACATAGCTTTCTGGGGGGGGGCACCTGGTACGCACCGAAAAAGTAGCGGGAACCGAAATCTGAAGGGGCATTAATTCCTCCTCTACCCAGCCGGAGATTCGAGCCGCTGCTGCTTCAAGGGCAGAGGACGACAAGGGAACGAGGGAGAGGAGGAGGCAGACGATGCCGAGGGGGAAGCGACGACAACCCGAAACGCAGAAGCGACAATCCGAGGAGGCGACAGAGCGACAGGGACAAGACGAAACGAGGAAGGCGACAAGAGAAGAGCGGGACCGAGACCTCAGAGGGCAATTGCGTAGATGGCGCCGGAGAGAACTGGTCGTTGGCGAAACCCACCACAAGCAAACCTAGAAGCCCTGGCAGCACAAAGATGAAGCCGAACAACTGCACTAGTTTGATATAGTTCGTGTAATGAACGAGACACAGCTTGTGAAATGGACAGGAGCGCATGGGGGAGCACCAGGAGGACGACGAGGAAAAGGGGAGGCAGATACGTGAATCGCGACTAGCTTGAGGACTGCAACCCTTAACACCTGAGGCGGAGGCGGTGACCACGAGATGGAGGCGGCGACAGGTAAGGACAAAGCTTACAACTGCGGAACGAGCGATGACCGTCCCAAGAAGACCGATCCCTACACAATTAGTTCTGAGCAGCACGTCCCACTAACAACCTTCTGGCACAGGCAGGGGCCCGCCGAGATCAAGCAACACTGAACGAACACATGATCTCCTGCTGCCAGCGGTTCCGGCTGGCCGACGTAAGCGATCGAATGGATGGAACCAAAAAGAAGCGCAAGCAAAAGCCGCAGCAAAGAAGCGCCGGGTAAAAACATGAATGTAAGAGCAGGCCGCGAGAAGAAGAGACAGGACGAACGGGACGAGTGAAAGGACGAGGTGGGCGGAATGATGACCAGAGGGCGAAGGGCGAGGCAGAATGAATTGCGTTTTCACACCTCGCCCTCTTCCCCCTCGCTGGCGGGCTCTGGACACCATAGGAACCGCTGGAGAAATCAGCTTCTATTTCCCCTGGCGGCAGACATCGAAACGGCCGCGCCACGATGGGCAGCAACACCGCGCAAACGTCGGGCCGCATCGGACAGCCCAGAAATCGGAGTCCAACCAGATCGAGTCAGGCGAGTGCGGTATCGAATTAAATGTGGACTTAAGGGGAAATTTCGATGACTGCGGAGACAGCAAGCGACCACAACCACATCTAGGATACTCCCTGCGGGATGTCTTCCGCATGCCAAAACTTGTCAGAACATCGAAATCAGCTGCGTACTGGTTGTGGTCGATGTGGCGTCCCAGGACGGCCAAATCGACCACAACCATAACCAAAGAGCTCATGTCGAGGTCGGTGGGCTCTCCCCCGAGGGGCCCTCCCGAAAAATCCACCTGTTATGCCTGGAATGACTCCGCCCCCGCCCTCCTTTCCAATTTCTGCTCTCTTCCTGAGGGATGGGGGCGCCGGTGTGGCTGAAGCCGCAAGCCACCCCTGAACTCGCCAACGGAGTGGATGAACCCAAAGACGAAGCACGGGTAAATGAGAAACTCGAGGGTAAGGGGGGAAGAATGCTCCCTGGTGTTTCCACAGATCCTCGCAGCATGTCGGGGATTTCCAGGGTCGGCGCATGGACTCGGGCGGGAGGAAAGGGAGGGGGAGGCGGGGAGCAGGCAGCACCAGCTCGACATCGGGGGAACAAATGAAAGGATGAGAAGGAGTGGGCGGGGTGTGGAGTGAGAAAGCGAAAATGCGAGAGGGGAATATGTATATATGTATATACAGGTCTATATCTACATAGATAGATCTATATACACATACCTGTATATATATGTACACATATATATATGTATATATATATGTGAGGTAACCGAACGATCATTGACTGGGCGCGTGGCTGAAGTGAGGTTCCGCGGTGCGGAGTGTTGCTGCGTTGTTTCGTTGTTCAGTTGTTGCGGCGTTGTTGGTGTAAGTGTTGCTGAGCGCTCTTGGCGAGCGAATCGTTATTGTCGATCCCCCATCTGGCATCTGGTGCACACGTGTGATGTCTTAACTGGAGTGCCCCTCCCGGGGCTCGCACCCCTTCTTGCCAAGGAGAACATGTGGCCTCACACTCCGTTGCTGGCCCCCAGACTACCACAACAGTGGCGCCCGCCTGGTACATCCTCACAACTTATTCACAATCGCGCTCTCGCGCAGGATGGCCTCACAATGTCTGCAAGAATCGCGCTCTCGCGTGGGAAGTCATCGCAATTTATTGACACGCCGGATCCCCAAACAATCAGGAATCACGTTGTCGCCGGGGATTTCCAAACGATTGCCTGGCCTTGTGACTCGAGCTATCGCTAAAACCTTCCTCGCGAATCATGCACGCAAGCGCTTCAACGACCCGCCCGTTCGACCCGCCCGTCTGGGCCTGCCCGCCCGTAAGGGTCCGCCCGCCCGACCCGCCCGTCTGGTTCTGCCGCTTGTCTTCCTGCTCCTACCCCCCTCCTGCTAATCTCTCTCGTGCTCTATCCTTCTCCCTTCCCGTTGTCCTCTCCCTTCTCTCTTCCTTTGTTTTAGGGGCTGCGCCAACCACACGTGGCAGGTAAGATATACCTCCAGAAGGGGTACGATCGAAGACGAACCATGCGGGCACCGATGGTTCGGAATAGACGTATTGAAAGGCACGCGAGCGTATCATAACGATCAGCAATGACATGTTTGCTGCGTTGTGTTGCTATTGTTGTTGCTGTTGTTGTTGCTGCTGTTGTTGGCCTCTCACTCGTGAAGAGTGATTATTGTTGATCCCCCACCGGTGCTCGATTCGATTTCCAATTGAATTGCCCCCTTCGGGGCTCGCACCCTGTTTTTTATGAGTGTTGGCTCCCGGCCTACAACGACACCAGTTCCAGCCTGATACTCCCTCGCAGTGTATTCAGAATCGCGCTCTCGCGCGGGACTCCCTCGCAATTGATGCAGGAACCGCGCTGTCGCGTGGGACCCCCTCGCATTTCACGAAAACGCCGTGCCCTACCCTCAGGAATCACGTTCTCGCTTTTGCCTTTCTCACGATATACCTGGGGATCGCGCTGTCGCCCGAGATTTCCTCGCGATTGATGCAGGACCTACGCTTCAGCGACACGCCTGCTCGACGTGGCCGCCTGAGCCCTCCTTCCCGACCCGCCCGGTAGGGAAAGCCCGCCCGACCCGCCCTTCTGGTTCTGCCGCGTGCTTTCTGCTCCTGCCCCCGTTCCTGCAAATTTCTTTGGTGCGCCATCCTTTACCCTCCCCCTTCCATCCGTCCTCTCTTCCTTTTTTCACAACCATCCTGTGGTTTTGCGTCCCAATTTTCAAAAGACAACGCCCCGCGTCCACTCCTTCCTCCTCCCCATCCTCCCTTCCCCCACCGTCATCATCATCATCATCATCATCATCATCATCATCATCATCATCATCAGCAGCAGCAGCAGCATCATTATCATCATCATCATCATCATCATCATCATCATCATCATCATCATCATCATCAGGGCCGTCATCATTATCACAATCAGCATCACCATCCTCGTCGTCATCATCGCCATCATCATCATCATCATCATCATCATCATCATCACCACCACCACCACCACCATCATCATCATCATCATCATCATCATCATCATCATCATGATCAACATCGTCATCGTCATCATCATCACCATCATCACCATCATCATCACCATCAGCATCGACATCATCACCATCATCGTCACTATCGCCGTCATAATCACCATAATCGCCATCAGCTTCGGCACACCCCTCACACGTTTCGTGGCCCCATAGGGAAATCCACCAAAGGCCCCAATGGCGATGTCAACATGCGTCGGCGCCACCCATTTCGCCACACCCCTCACGCGCTTCCTGATTCCGCAAGGAGCTCCACCGAACGCCGCAATGGCGATGCGCAGATGCGCCCGCGCCACCTATTCCGGTACTCCCATCACACGCTTCCTGGCCCCATAGGGAATCCGACAATAAGCCCCCGTGGCGGTGTCCCCATGCTTTCGCGCCACTCATTTCGGCGCACACCCCACACGTTTCGTGGCCACATAGTAAGCTCCACCGAAGGCCCCAGCGGCGGTGTCCACATGCGTCCGCGCCACCGATGTCCGCACACCTCTCACGTGTTTCGTGGCCCCATACGGAGCCCCACCGAAGGCCTCTGCGGCAGTGTCCATATGCGTCTTCGCCACTAATTTCGGCACACCCTTTACACGCTTCGTGGCCCCATAGGGAGATCCACCGAAGGCCCCAATGGCGGTGTCCGCATGCGCCCGCGCCACCCATTTCGGCACGCTTCTGGCACGTCTCGTGGCCCCAGAGGGAACTCCACCGAAGGCACCGGTGGCGGTGTCTACATGCGCCCGCGCCACCCATGTCGGCAAACCCTTCGCACGTTTCGTGGCCCCATGGTGAACTCAACCGAACGCCCCTGTGGCGGTGTCCACATGCGTCCGCGCCACACATGTCGGCACACCCTTCACACGCTTCGTGGCCCAAAAGGCCCAGTGGCGGTATCCCCATGCGTCCGCGCCACCCATTTCGACACCCCTCACACGTGTTGTCGCCCCTCAGGGAGCTCCACCGACGGCCCCAGCGGCAGTGTCCACACGCGTCCGCGCCACCCATTTCGGCGCACCCCTCCCGCGCTTCGGGGCCTCATCGGGTACTCCACCGGAAGCCCCAACGGCGGTGTCCACATGCAACCGCGTCACCCATGTCGGCACACCCTTCACACGCT